GACAATGTTGTTTTTCATTAGACCTCCGGAGTGTATTTTAGATACTAATCATTTTTAAATAAATGGTCATTATTTTCTGACGCATTTTGTCAACTATAAAGTTCACGTTTATGCTAAACTTATTCATTGCAAAACATCACAAGCAGGGCGAACGGTATAAACACGATGTTTAATAATTCTACTGTCAACTCTACTCGTCCTGGTATTCCTGTTCCTTACTACGGCAAGATACCATGGACTGCGGCCTTTTCTCTTCAATTTGTTATGGCCATGATGGGAAACTTCCTTATAGTGTGGATAGTCTTTAGGGACATTCGATTAAGAAGTTCCACGAATTACTTGATAACCAACATGGCGGTCAGTGATCTTATTGCAGCTCTCTTTGTCTTTCCATGGATACTAGTGCTCCTTAACTTTGACGGACAATGGCTGATTGGTGGGTTCATTGGTAATGCACTGTGCAAGCTAACTCCATTTACAATATATATGTCTTTCAGTGTCTCTACTTATAGCTGTGTTGCCATTTCAATTGACCGGTATTTTGCCGTAGCCTATCCATTCAAGAGACCGTTTCAGGGCAAGATGAAAAAGGTCATTGCAGTAATTTGGATTGTCGCAGCCGTAATCTGTTCACCATTCTTGTACTTTGTCACCACACTTCAATATGGCAACTTAGTGTATTATACATTGCAAGGTTTGGTCAGTATTTTGCCAGTGTTGTTCATGACAATCAACTACACTCTCACCATCTTCAAACTTTATCATCGCAAAGTACCAGGATTGTTAACCTCAAAACAAAGAAGACGAAAGCAGCAGAATAAAAAAGTGTTAAAACATGCTGTGACAATTGTGGTTTTGCTTTATCTTTGTCGCGGGGTTTGGTTCACTTTTTTCATGTTGTATTCTCAACGAAAGTTGGACCATGTGTCGAAGTCATCGTATTACAATTTGATGTATGCCTCAGTTTTCATTTCCTACCTCAGTCTCGTGTATAACTTCTTCATCTACCTCATCTTCAATGATATTTACCGTGGGAATATCAAGGCTCTGATGCCCAAGTGTTRCTCTCGATACAATGCTAACATTAGACAGGGAAGACAAGGTGGAGGAGCAGTTATAGAAATGAACGAAATTAATTAAAGACAGAAAAAATAGAAACAAAGAMTAAGAAAGTACGTACAATACCAACTAATTCAACGAAAAGAGAAAGAAACACTGCACATAAAGGGCGATATATTAATGTACATTCAATTGGATTTTATTGGTTTTGTGAAAAACCGCTTTGAATCAAATCTACTATGAACTTAAAAAGTACGATATATTCTTCACTAATGATTTTGAATGAACACTCAGTCGTGAACTATAACATGCAAGGTCCATGGATTA